CAACTTGCATTCTTTAATAAGTGAATTTGAACTTTTTTTCAAATTTTTAGATGCCACGTTTTTCTTTTCTGAGAGCTACCTAGTCACCGAATCTCCTTACTTTGCTTCAAACACACCAAATTTGTTATTCTTTCAAGTCTTTGCTGTTCCTTCCCTCCAGGAATGCTCTCTCCCTGTTTCTTCCTATGGCTGGCTATTACGTTTGTGTTTTAGCTCAAAGGTTACTTCCAGCCACACTCAGGTATCCTCAACTCCCACCCAGTTACTCTCGATCACATCACCCCATGTTATTTTGATCACAGAACCTGGCAGTATCAGAAGTGACCCTGCATATGCATTCATTGGTTATCTCTGACTGCCCTGCTGGACCTTATCTGTCTTGGACATCACTGTACCTCCAGCACCTACAACAGAGCAGGGCAATCCAGTGTGGGCCCAAAAAATTGTTAGATTAACAAATTAATGAATTCCTGTCAAAGGTAATAACAAAGAAATAAGATTTGCTCCTGTCTTGCTTTACAGCCCTTTGGGGAACTATTTGTACCTGGATAAACATTTATTCATTCATTCATTCCTATATTCATAGTGGAGAGCAGTAGTATTTATGATGGAAGTCAAATGAGGTAGCCTAGAGAACATGACCCAGGCAAGATGCTCACACCCCCAGGCGGCCAGGATAATCAACATTTTTATCTATTTCCTTCTCTTTAAAAAAGAAAGTAAGCTTTACTCAGTTTATGTATGGATTGAAACTGGAATGAAAGCATGGGAATTCTACAGCTCAGAAGAGCTGGTTAATATCACCACAAGCTTGTTTGCTTCCAACTTATTCCCATGTAAAACAGAATCTGTGCCTAGTTAAGTGGAATAACCAATTATAATTAGCTATTTTTATAATTATTACTCTTGCCCTATTATTATAAATAATTGTTAACACAGAGAGTACTGCCTCCGTTCTAGATGGCATTCTGTGCACTTTACATATAAGTTCTTACATCCTCATAACTACCCTGTTTTAGCCTTGCCATTTAATTAATGAGAAAAATGGGCACAGAGCAGCTTTCTCAAGATCACATAGCAGAGAAGTAACAGAGCTGGGATTCTAACTCAGGCTGGCTCCAGGCTGTGCTCTTACGTATTACTTACACCACGATGCTTTTGGGAAGAGATGCAGAGTGACCAGCCAGGAGAATCTTTGATATAATTCAGAAGACTTATGAAAATTAGATTTTGTGTGTGCAAAATGACAAGGGTTGAAAATTTGACTTTCTTTGTGAAGAAAGGGAACTACCTAACAACGATTTAAAAAAAAAAAATTATGGGGCTGGCTGGTTAGCTCAGTTGATTAGAGAGCAAGACTTAGAACACCATGGTCAGGGATTTGGATCTCCACACCGGTCAGCCGCCAAAAAAAAAAAAAAAAAAAAGACAAAGGTGATATATAAAGAATGAGGAAGTAACTTGTTTTCAAGAGAAACATCCTATGGAAAAAGTATTTTGAAATGCATGTTTGGCCACAATTCCCTTGTTATGTGACACTGTTGCTGAGAACAAGGTAAAGTTGTCACCTATAAAAACCTGTCTGCATGTTTAAACTCAGCAACAGAATTCTCTAGTTTGTTTAAACATCTTAAAAAAAAAAAAAGATTCCATGAGTTTGAAATCCATTTGTTAAAGATACAGTGATGCCCCCTTCTCAGTTTAGTTTGCGAAAGCCTCTGGTTGATTATCAGGGAAGATGAAAATTTACTAGCTGATTTCAACACAAATAGGCAATTTGTATAATTGATGAATAAGGATTGAAAGAGGAGAATCATGACTTAGGTATAGCCATAATACTTTGCTTTCAATTAGATCCTGTTAGTTATATTTTTTGTTTTTCATTATGACCCTTGAAATCAAGCCATTAAAACAGACCTAGTAATAAACTTAATTTGGGACTAGAACTTTGGATGATTTGCAAAATAGTAAAACAACCCTTCAAAAATAAAACTAATCAAGTATCATTTTATTTGTGGAAAACATTAATAATTTTCACTTTGTTTTTTGTTGAAATAATACATGCAGGAATAATGCAAATCAAGACCAGAGTGAGATACCAATTTATATCAATATAGTTAGCCAAGATTAAGATGTGATAATTACAAGTGTAGGAAAAGATGTGGCTTCACATTATCTCGTATCTTGCTAGGGGAAGTATAAATTGGTGAATCACTTTGGCATTTTCTGTTACACCACCCCAAGGTATACATTCACTCAAGAGAAACTGACACTTTCTAGAATGATCATAGATCATAACAGCACTGTTTGCAATGAAAGAGACCTGGCAAAGACACAAGTACCCATGAACAGGAGATGAACAAACTGTGGTATTGCCACACAATGGAATATTACACATTGGTCAAAAATCGATGAACAATGACAGCAATTTGGATGATCTAAGCAAATATTAATTGGGAGGAAAAGTAATTATATACCCTTTTCATGTATGAAGTTCCTTAAAAGTTAAAAATGTACATTTATTTAGGAATATATGTAGGTGCAATAAAACTTGCTAAAGAGAAAAGGCAAAGGAATGAAGTACATAGGATTCAGGCTGATGATTATTAAATTGGGAGAGGAGGAGTGGATGGGGACACAAGGAGAGTAGGTTGTGGTTACGGCCTTAGTTTTGGGAGTTGGGCTTCCTGGTACTTATATCATAAGCCAAGGAGTGAATAAGCAACCAAACAAACATAGGCTAGCAATAGATAAGTAATGATAACGTGTAATATACCAAGGATTGATTAATCCAATTGCAGGCACCTGAGTTGGAGTAATATAAATATACACACACCTCAAGCAGCATGGGCGGTATCAAATGTCTCCATCCTCCAGCCTTGGTGCACCCCCTCTTTCAGCTTCCCCGGAGGCAGTCACTGTTCCTAGTTTATCCAGTATCCCTCCGAGACATCCTCACAAGGAGAAACTATCCACCCTAGCTCAGGTATGTTTTCAAATGACTTTACAGATATGTGTAGCTACACACACTGTGAAGCTACAGACTATACCAATTGTCTGGCTGGAGCCATTGTCAGACTCCTACCAACGCAGCCAAATGTAGGGTTAGGGCCATAGTTATGCTAATTGTATAGCTAGGGCAATTCATAACTAAAGCCAAAACATTTCATTATTTTAGTTGTACTAAGTTTTCCAATTGGGTTGTCAGGTCTAGGCATTAGGGCCCACAGACCCTTCAAACCCGTTGTCCAGACTGGGTCACCAGACCCTCCACGTGCCAGGCTGGGTCATAGATCCCTCACATACTGGTCCATGCTAAGTAAGTGGGAAAGAGCCTGGAAGCCATTGGCAGACCACACGAGTTCGGTCCTCACCAGTAGCAGCAGCTTGCAGTAGCGGCAGCCGTGGTCTCTTGGGGCATCCCGAGAGCACTAGCAACAACAGCCTGCAGCAACAGCCTCCAGCAGCAGTAGCACCCTCCCCAGGAACATCCTGGGGGCTGGGGACGAGGAGTCCCGTGGATCCCGTGGACGAGGAGAGCCATTCGTCCTTTACACTTAAGTCCATAACCCAGGACACCTGGGCGCACATACACAATTACATTAGTCAATAGCCAAGGAACAGCTGGGCACACGTGCATATTAACATCAAATGCTTGGCAAGATTCTGAGGGGCTCTGACCATTTTTCTTATATTTTCCCTACACACGCATCCCAAAGAAAACTTTAAAAATTAACTTTTAAAGTCTCGGAAATTGAACCTTGAGGGACTTCACTTGGCATCAAACAAACCTAAGTCATTCACAGCCTGAAAAAAATATCAACAGGAAGATTGAGGAAAACAGCTCAGCTTTTGAGAAGCGTAAAAAAAATCCAGTAACTATGCACTTCTTGTAGGCACCACCCTGCGGTCTGCAATAGCCTCACAGAAGGCGAATTCCAGACGCTGCTCAATCCCCCAGGGCCCGCGCGGGCGGTCTTTCTCGGACTTGCCACATGGTAAAACTCACCCGCGGCCCTGTCAAAAATGCAGATTCCCAGGCCCCGCCCCACGGACTCAGAGATGAACGTGGCTGGGCCTTTTTTAACAACGGCCCCCACGTGATTCTCAGGTTCGGGCAAGCTTGGGGCACAGCCTTGTCTTAAGAAACTCCCCAATTTGAAGAAAGTAAACACCTTGGGATGTAGGTGGCTTTCTTGTTCCCTGTTGGGTGTCGTTCGTGTGGTGCAAGGAGGGGTCCCCCTCGGGTCTCATCAAGGTCCCAGCCAGTCTGAGCACGAACGCCAATTAGCTCAAACCCCCGAGGACCACGCCTCAGTCACCTGGGCGCGGCCCAGCGCCCCCGTTGGCCCCAGAAGCTGCTCCTGTGTGGTCCTATCCCGGTGCGCCAGAGTCATCGAGCCGGAGCGTGGGCGCGCTGCAGGAAAATACAGATTCCTGGCCTCGGCCGCCTGAATCCAAAACTTTCTGAATCCGCATTTTTAACTGGCTACTCCAGGAACAGAGGTTCACCCTGCAGTTGGAAACACTGTGGTCTCACTTAAATTTTAAATTCGAATATGCAGCCAAGGTCAAGTTCCACGAGGGGAGGTCGAGCTTCTCAACGTTGGCCGCACATGAGAACAACCCGGGAAGGGTTTCAAATGTCCAGGTCCCAGCCCAGATCAATTAAGTCCGAATCTAAACGCGCGGCCTGTGCAGCAGCGGCGGCAGCCAGTGCACCACCTGGGAGCTCGTTAGAAATACAGAAGCTCAGGCCCCACCCCAGACCCACTGAATCAGAATCTGCATTTTAACGAGATCCCCAGTGACTCGTGCGCACATTAAAATTGGAGGAGCGCCGTGCTTCTGAAATTTTAATGGGCAAAGGAATCACCTGGGGATCTCGTTAAAATGCAGACACGGTTTCTCAAACTTTAATGTGCATGCGAATCACCTGGGGATCTTGTTAAAATGCAGATTCTGATGCAGCGGGTCTGGGGTGGAGCCCGAGAGTCTGCATTTCTAACGAGCTCGCAGGAGGTGCGAGCTGCCCAGGCGCGGACCACAAATGCACGGGACCCTTGAGGTCTTGGCTCCAGGCCAATCAGCCGTCAGGGCTCCTGACAAATAGCCCCGCTCGGCTGATGAGCAGAATTGCCAGGACATGCGCGTTCTGGCCGAGGGGGGGTAATTTCCGAACTCCGGGAATTCGTCGTGTGAAGTAGGCCAGTCGTAGGGACGTGCCGGGAGCCCCAACCTCACGCCATGTCGCGGCGCAAGCAGGCCAAGCCCCAGCACCTCAACTCCGAGGAGCCGCAGCCTTCGCGTCAGGAGTTCGCGGAGGTGGCCCGGCAAGTGGCCGGGGACCTGGGTGAGTAGCGCTGCGGTCGCCCCGCCGGGGGGGCGTGGGCCGTGGGCAGTTTTCTCGGACGTTCAGCGGACCCGCGTGGGTACGAGGTCCGGGCAGGGGGCGTGTAAGGGCGGGCAAAGCTCCCAACTTGAGTTCTGGGACTCTGGCCTGGGCTCTCCCGCCTTTGTGAATTACACCCTCTCGTAAATTCCACCCGCCCAGCGTGGGCTCCTCCGGCCACTCCGCCACGATCTAGTGTTCTCCTCCCAAACGCGCTGGAAGGATGCTCTGAGACTCTCCTCGAAGGCAGTTTTCGGGGTGCGCGGGCACCCGAGTCCCCGACCTCCTTGGCACTGGGCTTAGGCTGCGTGCCTGGCAGGTGGGCGTTCTGGGACCTGCGCGGTCTCGTTGGGGCAACTGAAAATGCCTGAGTACTTACCGGGTGCCAGATCTGGGGCTAGGCGCTCGGGAGGGACACAGCAGTGTCCCTCAAAAAGGACAAAATTCTGGTCCTCCTGGAGGTTATGGTCCAGTGGGGAAGAGGGAGATGGCACATGAGATAAATTGGTAAAACGTAAAATGAGCTAGAGGTGAATGCTAGGGAAAAACGTGATAAAGCAGAGCGCGGAATAGGAGGTGTGGCGTTGGGGGTGGGGG